AGCTTCCAATTGGTTATTCATGTCATATATAGAAGTAAGTGTATGTAAGGGAGCATTTAAAAAAATAGAAAGAGGTAGATGGGATGCCACTGTGTTTGATTTATCTATCTGAGCAATATCTTAGCAAATTGAAAAGATAAGAGCCTCTTATTTTATATTCTAGCTTGTCAATATAAGTAATTTGAGTTTATAATTTGTACGAAACTATAGACTTAGTATTTTGACTTCAAAAACATCTAATTTTAACCATTGCTGCATTCAACATACCACGTGACACACAAAAATTGATGTTTATCTGTGAGTTTTTTTAATATTTGCTTTTAAATTAAGAAATCAAGTAATATATAGTACTAAAATTTGAATTATAATCTACAGTATGATACCATAGTTATTGACATAAATTCATGAACTAGTAGTTCAATAAAATTTTGAATGCAAGTCAATAAACGAGATGACATGGTCTTTCACCTGTGGCCCGTATCAAAAGGGTTAAAGAAGCTGTAGTTGTTAGAGGGTTTCTTTTTAGATGTAATAAGCATTCTTGTTAATTGCTATTATTCTTTCTTTTTTTATTTACTTTATGTTTTCTTATACAGATAAGAATTGTTGTAACATAGATTTTTCTTTAGTGGTTCTTTTGAATTATAAGGTGAAAATAATTCAATCACATTACATAATCAAAAACATAATAAACATTAAACAATCCTCATACAAAAAAATAGAACACTACACTAAATTACCTATTCTTAGTCTTTTGGGTGGTTTTTCAACTATCAATCCCTCATGATATGCTGGAGGTTTTAGTTCCACTATGCCCTAGTTACTAGATGAAGAATTATTGTTATTATCTCCTGTAACAAGCATCTCACTTGGTGGTGGTGCAATAACAACCATCCCTGTTTCCACTGAAAGCCCCATATCCAGTGTAGTAATTACCATGTAGTGGTCATTGGCTGTGACGCTGGCTAAAGCTAACTTGATCTCGCTTCCATGTGTCCACATAAAATCAGTGAAGTCAGTTCTAAAAATACACTCTTCCTCAATGTCAATTACCCACACATCATGAGGTACAGAGAAGCTTCCTATAGTAAGAAAACTTCCAACTTCCCTTTTATGGGATCTTCATGTCTACCTGCTGTTTGCATCAATCCTTCTTCTTTCTGCATCTCTGAAGATAATTTCCCATCTTTCATAAATAAATTAGGATGAACAATTGTAGCTGTAGAACCAGTGTTTATGAACATAATGCAAGGTTTCCCCATCACTAACCTCATGGACTTTTGGATTATTTTCTTCAAATAATGATCTTTCTCAATCGTGGTAGATGGAATATTTCCAGCTGAACTTTGCTTCATAAATCCAACTAATTCCTCGTAAACTCTATGTTGTTCCTTTGATTTGGTTGGTCTCTGTATCCTTGGCTTAATGACAGCTCTTGATTCCTCATGGTCTCGGCTGTAATGAGCAAGTTTCCCACAATTATATCAGTTACCTCTTTCTGGCATTATCTGAGAGTTCTTATTTCATACAGGCTTTTTTCTGCAGTTCCTAGCAATATGTCCCTTCAAGTTACATTTGAACCATATATTAACTTGTGGTCTATTTCCTCCATTCTGTATAATTAGCTTTCTGATTAATTTTTTAAATTCTTCTAGACTACTGTTAGTGGAAGTAAATCGTTCAATACTGCAGGATCTGATATTCCTGTAACTTCTAAGTGGTGCCTTTAGTAGTCTATCTGTAACCTTAATGGATTTTAGGTTCCATCTCATACTGCAGAGCTTACTTTAAAAATGTAAACTTATTTTACTTCAGCCTAATTTTCATAACCTTGTCTGTTATAGCATCTATAATAAATTGGTCACGAGCCAATTGATTCATCATTTCATCAGGAACATCCTTTCCTTTCCAAGTCTTCTACGAGATCACTTTAGGTCTTTTCTTTCCTTCATATCCTGTTCTGGAACTTCACTCTCAATACTCCTTTCTGGTCTGAAACTCTGAACCTGTTGAGAAAGGTGGCGACCTATGCTGGGTAGTTGTTAAAGCTCTCAGCTGGAAGGGTACTTAATGTTGTCAAAGCTAGTCCCTCTAAATTGACAGCAGGATAGATGGCTTGTTGTTCACTATTTCACCCTTTCACTCTTAAAATGGTTTCAAACTGACTCTGGCATGACTCCCATTGTACTTGTTCATTACAGTCCAATTCTGTAACTGGATTTGGTAGTGTCGTGGTTGAAGTAGTCCATAAAGTTCCTTCAATAACAGGTGGTACAGTAGTAGTAATAATATATGCAGATCAAACAAGTTCTCATTCATGGTTAATGGAGTATTTCCAGCTGAAATTTGCCTCATAAATTAAATTAATTTCTGTAGTTTATATGTCTCATTAGTTGTGTTGTTTCTTTGAATAAATTAAATTAATTCCTATTTTTTATATATGTCTCATCAGTTGTGTTGTTTCTCTGATTAAATTTAATTAGTTCTTGTTTTTTATATGTCTCATTAGTTGTGTTGTTCCTTTGATCAAACTAAATTCTACTCAGTAGTAGATAGTGTTTTTGGTTGGAACTCATGAGGCGATGCAGAAATAGGTGTAGCTGGTTTAATCTTTGCATTTAATAATTTATCTTTCAGATGACTTATTTTGTCATCGATGTTCTTTTTTTACTTCACTTTTGACTTTGTCAGTGTCTTTCAATCTTGTGATTACAGCATTTCCATACCTCTTCAATCCTACTGTTGTAATATCTCTATACATTTTCAACAGTTTCATCAATCTTGTCTTCAATCAGATTGATTTTTTTATCAATTCTTCTTTAAAGGCTACATCTCTTTCTTCTAAGTTTCTGTCCCTTTATTCCTGCTATTATTTTAATTTTCTATCTCTTTTTTTTTTTTCTTGATTTTATTTTTTTTTTAGTAAATTTCTTCTTGATCTTTCTTAATTTTTCTGTATCATTCCTTTTAATCTTGTCTTAATAATTTCATCATCTCAAGTAACCTTTAAGTCTCACTACTTGACCTTATCTTCAACATTTGAGATTATTTTTCATGAATATTCCACATTCTGCTCTATTTTCGCCAAGATAAAATCCACTTCTAATTCTTTAAGAGTTCTTTTAAATTATCAGTTGAAATTAATTCAACATCACGTTACATCTTCAAAAACCCATAGCTAGCTCAAGTTAACAAACATATTACAACATTAAAAAATATAGCCTAAAAAAAGAATGTGTTGTTTAATAAGTTGGTGACTCTCCCTGTTAATGATATTTTTGACAGTAAAACTAATAATATCTCACAAGGTTCAGCCAGTTAAGACATTTACGTTAGTCCTAAATCCATGTATGCTAACAATACAATATAATCTCTATAATCAAATATTATCACCAAAAGTGAGAAAGCTATATATATAGTAAACATTCTAATCAATGCTGTTAGTGAAAATAACATTAAAGAAAGAATATAGTATACCTTACTTACAGAATAAATAAACACTAGATGTTATCTTGTAACTCTATACTTGATGGTTGAATTTAGTTAATCATCAATTAACACACTGTACTTAATTTGCCTTTCAACATTTACATCTTAATAAAGTTCTTATCACTTTTGAAGAGACTTATAGTGGTCTCTTGTACAAGTAATAATTCCATTCAAATGGTTTTTCCCTCTTACCAAAGACCAGTAAACCTAAACCTGCATGATACAAAGCTCTAGGTTATACCACAAGACATGCAAAGACAAATTCATATTCATCTCTAACAATTTGTTTAAGGATGAATGCAGATCCTACATAGATGTATCACAAATAAACTTTGTTAAGAAGATGAACAATTTTCTTTGATATTCTAACATTTTTATTTTTTATGATATATTCTCATTCAATTCATACAATTGCTCACCTTTTCCAGGTATTGGCCTTACAGTATATTTTATTTGCAAATATATAAAAAATTTTAAATCTATATTGGTAAAAAAAAAAGAGACATTTGTACATGCAAAAGTGTGTTACCTGGGTTTTGAATCCTCCAAGTTTTCACAAATCTAGTGCTGGGTGGAACAGCTTCTCCTTCTCCTATGGTTACATCTTTCACAAATGACATAGAAGGAAGCTTATCTAGAGGTGCTTCAAAGTCAAAGTATGAACATACAGCTGCCTGCAGATTCCTATTAAATTAATCAAGATAGTATAAAGACTGAAAGAATTACATTTTATTTCATATATATCATTACAAGGCTCATTCTCAATAAAACGCTAGCTCATAAATATATATATATAGAAAATTAAGATAAATACCAACACCAAAAGAAGCATCTTTTTTCTAAAGAAAAGTATGAAATACAAAAACCCATTCATAAAAAGCAACCTGTATATTTTCAGATTATTTTGATAATACATTTACTTGCAATTAGAATTAAAAAGTTTAAAATTAAAGTGCACTTCTGTCAGAAAGTTTCTTGTGTTTTATGTTGCAGGTGTCACAAATAATTTATCCATACAACTTACATCTTTTTTAACATGGATAAAAGAAAATTTTGACTCGTAATGAGATATAATGTTTTATTATAAGCAGATCTCAAAATACAAATAAAAATGTACGTTATTGTTAAAATTTAGTGAATTCAACCTTTTCTTCTATAAAAACACATTCTTAATATACTTTGAACTTGTACTTAATGAGTATAAACATAACACACAGACAATGAGGAGTTGTTTTATCCCTGCATACCCAACCTTTATTTTTCAGAAAATAATTGATTTTTCCCACTTAACACTTGTAAGTTGCCAGTCTAATTGTTGCTAACAGTGACTAATTTCATAATCCAATAGAAAATAAAACTGTTTTAACTGGAGCCTAGTCCATCTTTTCTAAATCTTAAACTTGTCTCCTCTTGTCTTCAGAACACAGCACAAAGAAATCAGAGGCCTTTATTCCATCAATCCCCAAGATAATCTTATAACTTCTATATAATCACTTCTTACCCTTCTTTTTTCAAGAGAAATTCAGTTGAGATCTAAACCTATCCCTGGACAATAGCCCCTCTGTCCCCAAAATCATAACAGTAGCCCTTTCTATTAATATAAGTAAAATAAGGACCAAAAAACTCCAGAATTATCTTTGTTAGGTAATAAAAATATATTCTGGAGATAAAGGTCATTATTTTATTTATGTTTAACAGAAACATCTAGAAATAAACTCCAGTTTGCATAAAAGTTAAGAATGATAAGATCCTAGTAGCCCTACTATTAACTCTTTTCAATAAATATCCTTTCTTAGACAAGAAGACCAAAACCATACACAGTATTCAAAGTAAGGCCTAACTAGTAAATTATAAAGAGAAATAGTTTCAATTATTGACTTGTAATCATCATTGTTTACAAACAAACCCTCAAGTTTTATTAGCTTTATTACTAGCAACAGAGTACTGCCCCAATATCTTGAATAACATATCTGCCACTTTGAGAAGATCCTATTCTCCAGTCATCCTACTGAATAGGATATCCATCTGTATTAAACATGTGATTCAAGTTATGAAAAAAAAAACAGATTCATTAACTTACGTACTATAACTAAGGGTCATTTGCTCAATACTTTTCCAACTTAACAAGTGATTCAAGACATTCTGTAATACCTCTACATCCTCAACACAGGTAGAGATACCCAACAGTAAAATGCTATCAGCAAACTTTATTACTTTACTAATTATACTTTAATATTATTATTAATGCAAATAAAAAAAGCATTGATCACTGAGATTCTATTAATGACATTCTTTTGCTTTTTCTCATACAATCACCCTAGAATTGAATTAACCATTAAATTCCCAACACCATCTAATGGAATTTTCTCAGTTAACCTTCTGTGTGGCACTTTATCAAAAGCTTGGTGAAAATCTAATCATACCAAATCCATACACTTTCTTTCACCAAAATAACAAGCAACTTTTCAAAAAGTTAGTAAAGAAAGATCTTTCTTTAGTGAATCCAAGCTAGCTTTCTCTTGTGATTTCATATTTCAGTAAATGATTTTGCAAAGCTTCTTATATCAGATTTTCAAGAATATTTTTAATCTTAAAAAGTAAGATTTACTAGCATATAATTTTTGGGCAATTCTTATTACCCACTTTAAAAATATGCACCTACCTAATGTTTAGTTACCTACCAAATATCAAATAGACTCACATATCTGATCTTTGTTTTTCTCTAAAACCCTGGGAAAACTTTACCTGGTTCTGGTGCTTTATCTATTTTTAATTTCTCACTATTATACTTACCAACAGGGAATTAATATTACATGATTCAGGACAATTCCAATATTTCCCATACAAAACTCAAGGTCAGAAATATTTCTAATATCTTCTTTGTAAAAGCAGAGAAGAACACTTAAAAGCTCAGCCATCTCACAATCTTCAATAAAAACCCTTGACATCAACATCCTTTAAGGGCTTTATTCCCATTTTAAAAGACTGCTTATCTTTAACATTCTTAGAAAAAACATTTGCTGTTAATTTTAATATTATCAATCAGCTCTTTCTCATAAGTCCTTTATCATTTCCCAATTTACTTTTTAATCAAATTCATAGTTTTCCTATAGTTCTATAAGTCTTTCATCCTATACGTTAATTTAAACTTATGGCTTTTATCCTTAATATCTTTAGTAAACCAATTAGGTTTGACACTCCCTGTTTTAAGGAACAAGCTTATCTTGAATTGATTAAAATTTTCAAAATCTGTCACATCACCTTATAACTAATTATCCTAATTCATTAATGATGAATCTTGTCTCATGGCATCAAAACTGGCTTACTGAAAATTAGGAAATAAAATTTCATTCTTTCTCTCAATATGTAGCACAATATTAAACCTAATTATACAATGATCACTTGTACCGAAATGTCCCTCCTCCCACTTGAACTCTTCCATATCCTCATTAGTGGTTAACTATTACTTTAAAATGTTATCTTCTTTAGTTGGCTCTCTGACCTTTTTCTGTACACTAAAATAAGAATCAGTTGCTTTTTGAATTTTTTCTTCTATTATAAATGGAAAGTTTCATTTAAAGCATAATTAAGTATCTTAGCATTAACATATGCTGTAGTGGCTTACTTAGTAAACATAAACATGCAACTTATATTGCATAAAATGACAAGGAAGAATGAATTATGTTCATTAGCTATATTTCTGCCAAACATGTAACTAATACATAAACTACTAAATAATACATGTATATAAACCAAAGTGTTTACCTTGTCAGTCAACATTGTAAACATGTGCAATTATTTAAAATAACTGGTGATGAAAATGCCATTTAATATACTAAAACAAAACATTTCACAAAATCTAGCTCAAAACTTTGAATGTAATATTTTATTTATCCACCCCCATTATTGCTGGTCTTTTAATCAATAAAATCAACCACTGTATGTGTGACAAGCATACGTCAATAAACCACTGCAAATTCCACCATTAGTTCTTTAAAATTTTATTGCTGTTAAGTCCCTTAATTGATGTCCAATTATTGGATTAATCACAGTTTAACATTTTTATTTTTACAATAATAATTACTGCTATCACAATCATGGTTTACTGTATATATATGTTACTGATGATTCATTCAGCCAATCAAATACATTGTAACACAAACTAGTTAGCATAACTGGCCAATAAATCTATATTTTATAAAAATAATGTTGCATGGTCAGGGAGCATGAGGTATTTGTTCTTTCATAAACAACTGAAGAAATGATGAGTTTAATTACCATAAGCATCAAAATTATATATATAAAATAAGAGAAATGAAAATTAAATTCTCAATTTTGGGCAAAATGGGATAACCAATAAAAAAAAAAAGGAGTAATGAATTTAAAAATTGATACGAACAGACTTGTTACACTTGTCTTTAAAACAAATCAGTAACTATTTTGATGTACACAACATACTTTCCTCAGCTCTTGATTATTTGTGTGGCTCATGTTTGAATCATGCACTAGGATTTGCTATTTAATTTTCTACCCCAAAATCTATGGCTATAAATTAAAAATGGCCAGAGTAAGCACTAAACTAAACACATATGAACTGTTTATGACAAGTAATTCTTTAATAAACTTTAGTTTAAAGACATACATAAGCAGTTTTTAAAATTATCTGTATAAGAAAGTGGAGGATATAATAACCTCAGCACATTAAAAATGAAAAAAAAAAAAGTTACTGGATCTTTCTATTTATCTTAAAATATCAACTTCACTTTGCTGCAGCTCTACAACGAATGACACTCACACATATGTACAACATACTATACCCTATCACAGAGATCTTTAAATCAGCTACTATGAATAACAAATCAATCATCAGAGTATTTAAGATGAAATGTTTCTTAATCATGACCTGAATTGGAGTAAGTCTTGAACAGTTTACAAGATACATGTACATATGGAACAAATAGCTTACATATCCCATAAAACATGGAAACAAACAGTAAATAAAATAAAAAGAAATGTGAATGTACTAATAATATATGGTAATACATACAAACTGCAAAAATATTTAATATTTTTGAAATGTTTAGTACAAGTTCAGTAAGCACATTTAATTTCATCAGAATATTCAAGCCCAATATTTCTGTTCACTTTGATTAAATCAAATAATTTTATTATTCACTGACAATAAGATAAAAAAAATTGGGAAGACTTGAATAAATTACTTCAACATAAATCTTGTCACATAAGGAGCAGTTTTATCTGTACAGCAAAAAACATTTAATCAACATGTTAAAAATAATTGTTTGTGCATTTGTTCATGTTCTTCCAATTAGAAGTCAACTGTATCTATACATGTAGAACTGGGTAATTAATTCAATTAGTCAATATAATCTATTACTGTCACAACAAATAATCGGTTAATTCAAATTATGATTAAATTGACTAAACCACGAAAATAATCAACTATTAAAAATTAGTGTTTATGATTATTCCAACTATCCAAGTAAGCAAAATATTGCCATTATGATTTTTCATTATTGTTTTTGATAAATTCAAGTTTATTCAGCTCAACTGATTAGTGTCATGACACACAAAAATAACCAACTAATCACAATTAGTGTTTCCAATATTACTATTTTCAATTAATCCAACTATTCACGGTTGATGAGTCTCATGATTAATCAACA